GGACCGCTCGGACTCGAATCGAGCGCGTTCGGTCACATCCGAGCTGGATGGCTGTCGGCTGCTTCGAATAGACGAAAGGGTCGATTGGCGATAGGCTCGGGGCTCGTGCAGCGAACCGCGTCTCTCGGGGTAGGATTCGGGGCTGTAGGATAAGGGTTCGGGACTGGACCGGCCCAGTCGACTTCGTGGTAGACCAATTGCGGACCTGGAACTGGGACCATAGGCCGAGCTGGACGGGCGGCTCTGTTCATCCAGCGGATGGGCGGAAGCTGAGTAAGAGTATAGGGCGGCCGTGTGGGGGGTGGACGGAGATTCTTGTTGCGGATGCAAGGGGCTATCGTAAGTATTCAAGCGAAGCTGCTCGGGGTGAGGCATCTGTTCCGAAACACGAGAGGTTGATGAGCGCAGTGCACTGCCAGACATCCTGAATCGCGACTGTAAGTGCCGAGATCCGACGAAAATTAGCTCCAGTCTCCCACAATCACTAATGAAAAGCACAGCAAATTAACTCCAGAGCCCCCGACTCACCCGTCGAAGCTCGGATCGTCCGAACGAATCGCGACGACCAGAATCCGATCTCGCGATGTTCAGGAAAATGTCCTCGTTTTTGGCGCGGGTATCATCTGCGACCGGAGTCTTGTTGCCGTCTCCTGACTGACTGTATCGGTCGAGCCCATCGACACCGCGACTGCGCTCGTCAGCCGGCGTTCGCCCCTGAGCATAAACCACCGAGGAGGCGGACATTCTATCGTTCACGTCTGGAATCGTCTGCTGATCATAAAGAGAGGATTTTCGACGCTTGGGTGCATTGGGATTCGTCGCGCGAACCGTCGAGGGAGCGTCAAGGGGTAGCGCAGAATCGGGATCGTTCTCTACGGCCAGTCGAGGTGATGTTGGTTGATAGCCAAACCCCGCTGGATCGCGAACGTGGGACAAATGGAAGTTGGGGACTGACCGCCGGGGTCTGTCATACAGGATGGTGCGTTGTTGGGGGGTCGGAGTCGGGTCTGGGCCCGGATGCGTGTCGTCGCTGTTCTGGACGGAAGAGGTGGCGGCGCTGGTGTGCGACGATGTCAGAGCTCGTTTGCGAAGAGGATACTTGTATTCGAAGCTGAACCGGCTCTGAGGGGGACGAGGAACAGCGGAAGGAGAAGAGGTATGCGAAGCAGCAGCAAAGGCGGCCGATGAGGAAGAATGGGAGGACGAAGAGGTGGGTGAAACAATTGAAGTTGTTGTTGTTGTTGTTGTCGTTGTCGTTGTCGGACGAGCTGAAGGGGAGTAGTAGTCGTTGTTGTCGCAGCTGCCGCTGGCGGCGGGAGTCGCTGTCTTTAGCGCGGTTGCTCTGCCCGCCTCACGGGGTTCCGCCGCCATCATTCCACCTACACCTACACCTACACCTGTCGGGCGCATTCCTGGTTTCGTCCTTGTCACGGACGCCCCTTCGCTCTGACGTGGGTTCGATCCGGCACTGAAGGTAATGGTCCTGGCACGGTTGACAATGGAACGGCGACAGAGGGACTCATGCGGGTCCGGATGTGGTACATGTACATGAAGATGTGGCTGGGTCACCGCGGATTCGGTCTTTCGACGTCGACGAGGGTTGAAATGCTGCTGATTTGCTGGGATGGAGGAGAAAGAGGAAGAGGAGGAGGAGGAAGAAGAAGAAGAGGGGAGGAGAGGAGAGGCTGCATTGCCAGCAGCCGTGGATGCGTCTGGGGACATCTGCAGTTCTGCAACTGGTGGTGGTCAGGCATCCACACGCATCCTCGTTGATCAATCAGATCGATCTGCTGATCAGTAACTGGCTGTGTGAGCAATGGATGTATCTGCAAAGATCGGAATCTCTCCTAACCAAAAGCAGGCGGGAAAAGAGAGAAAGGAAAAAGAAAGAAAAAAAGGACGAAAAGGAAAAGAAACAACACAAGAGATTTTTTTCTAATCTCACACTGGTTACGAATAACAAAAATACAATATGATTCATCGGTTATATTGGACCGACTGATGATCAGAAGAGAAAAGTCTGCTGCGACATCGATCTCTTCGCGTATTACGGAGTACAACTACTACTAATTATAAACTAATCAACTACTAGTCCTGCGGCTCAAGGGGAACAAACGCAAGAGCAGCCGAGAAGAAATAAATAGACCAAACACCACGAGGACTGAATGGGGCCTGGCAAGGGAATAGAAGGGAAATGAAGGACGGGACGAGTTGGGTTGTTAAGTGAGTGCGTGTCTGCGTGTCTGTGTCTGTGTCTGTGTCTGTGTCTGTGGTGCGGTGGCTGGCCAACAGTTGGCTGGCTGGCTGGACCCAGTCTGTACGTTCCCCTCAATGGTTCGGATATTTACATCGGTATCATGATCGAATAGAGGGAACGATCCATGTTAACATGACCGACTGCCTGTTTATCACCCCAAACAATCAAAAGAGATGAAAGTTGGTGATATCATTTACCCGTGTCCGACCAAGCGGGTTGAGACGATTTCTCCTGGTTTCATCTGCCTTGGCTGGTCAGCATGCAGCCTAGTGTGAGAGGGCTGACTCTCCCAAGAGGTCACTCAGGAAAAAAGAATTGTGCAGCAGTTTCTGCAGACACCGGTGTTGTGTACAGATTATCAATCTCGATGTGAGTTTCTCTAGCAACGTCCAGGGGCTGTCAGAACCACGGTTCGGAGATGGCAAACCTTGGTTCTCAGCAGTGTCAGCCCCGTCAACTGGGAAGGCGAACACAGAGCCAGGTAACTGGTCGACGTTCCTTGGGAACAACCTTGAAAGAAACTGGAATTGCCCAGATGATATGCAAAACCTGGGGAGGCCGTCATATGCAGCTTACATACAACGAGGGTGCTTCAAAGGTCAACCATCATGCAAGTATAACGAAAGCTTAACCATAAGGGGGAGGATCAATGCCTTGAGCTCGATATTCTTGCTATCTCCATCCATTACCAAGACTATGCAAGGCGACTCAGTAATAATATCACTAGCGATAAGATGATATCACGACCTACAGGATTCTACTCATACTTAAGCACAGCTCAGTGGAAACCGCGACATGGCCCAAGGTCCAGATAAGAGGCTGCTGCCGACGATTGTCTCAGTCATGCTCCGACTTATCTTTCAGACCAGGGTCCTTCATCGTGCATTGGGAAGCCTTCGTATTGCCCGGAATTTCTTTGTGTCCTCCGGCCGATTCGAGTCCAGGCCCGGGGTCCAGGTCCAGCTTCTACGATTATGCCACAAGACAGCCCTCTGCCACTTTCTAGTAGCTAGTGATGCTCAGCACAGACAAGAAAGAGCTTTCCTTTCAGCGAATAGAGCCCCGTGGAATGGGAGATGAGCTTTGCGTTAGCCTGCGGACTATTGATACTCGGGTGTTTCGTCTAGAGATCAGTATATTGCTCGGATCCGATCTGACTTAAGGTTGGGGAAGCTCGATTGGGGCGCCGTCACGCAAGCCGACAAAAATCGGACCGACGCTAGCGAAGGCAATATGTGAACGGGTACTGACGGCAGCGGGAGGCTTTGCTTAAGTCTCGTGTCGAGCGCTGCTATTCAGATCGCTGCCTATGGGAGATGGGTGGCGCGTGTAATCCTTCAAATTTGGTCGCTTGGTTGCTAGGCTACAGCTGAGGCTGCAACAGTGCGCAGCCTTCCGAGAGGCAATTCCTGTCGCAGGAGACGGGATGGATAGGATGGTCTTGCATGTTGGTTGGAAACGCTTAGTCCAACAGTCAAGTTGAGCATGATTGCACGAATTGATCTGTGGGGAATTTTGGAGACCAACAAGTTAGAAACCATTGGCATTCAGACAACGGAAGCGTTTCGAAACTTCAGCGAGTCATAGCTTCTTAGGGCTCAGGCACCAGACCGTCCCGGTACGAAACACTATCAACTAAGAGCATTAGCAAAGTTAGTACGGTAGACAACGCTCTTGAGATTCCGAGCCGAACATTATTATTTGGGCACACTGTGGGCTGTTCACCGAAGCCTCATCTTCACAAAAGAGAAAAATGGCACACCGAGTCAATTGAGGTTAAAGGAGCATGGCCGGGCTCAGCAACCCGCAATCAATGAATCTCCCCCCACATTAATCACCGACGTGAGGCCGAACGGGCGGTCCAAGTTGAAGTGGTTCTCTGCTCTGAGCCATGGCATTTTCCTGGCCCCATAGTTTCAGATAGACGTTTTGTGCCACGTGGAATCGGGCGCAGAGGGGTCTGGTCTCATCAAATCTCTTTCAATCCGTAACATCGACCCAGGCACTGTATATTGAACGGAATGATATTGAGTGATGGTCACGAGTCAGCACGAAGGGCTGGTGAGGGACGACCTAAGTTTGCTACACATATTTCAGACCGTGGAGAAGACAGGAGGTTGCGGTCAAGAGGATTTGCGCGGGATGATAAAGCTGACGCAGTGCAGCAACGCATATCCGTCCTGGAGAGCCGACCGACGACGATCTGGCGCCATGAGCCGATCGCGTCAGATGCAGATCATGGATGCAACATTGCAGTAGAAACTGGTTCTCAAGTTTCTTGTCATGCCAGAAAATCGGAGATCTACCAATTGCGTCCAGAATCTGTGACGTAGCAGGTCATTAGTTACCCGGCGTGTCTCAGTTGTGACAGGAGTGCAAGCCTTTTGGATGTTGCTACTAGTAAATGTCATGGGTTTCGAGTTGCAGGGACAAGCAGTATCAAGTACTGAGCAATGTCAAGATTGTGGAGGCTAGGGTGACTCCCACTGTGTACTTTACGAATGTACACAGCATTTGTAAAGAAATTGTGCTACCAAGAAACCGGGGTCGACCAGCGCCGAACGTTCATCATGCTCGGAGTCGTAGGTAGGTGTAGATATGTAGATATATCTGAAGCATAATCGACCAGGCGGCCCGTGACCAGAGCCAATCATCCCCAGTATAGCCGATCGCGACGATATAAGGAATGAAGGAAGATGATTTGGCGCTTTTTCTCGTTTCTTCTCCTCCTCCTCCTCCTCCCCTCCTATTCCCCTCCCAGGCTCCCCTCAAGTCTGCCTGTGACAGGCGATGTTGCACACGTGATGGGCGATGGAACTAGTGGCTTAGCATTGGTTGGTTTGTTTCAAACCCGGCCGAACCTCTTCTCTGCCACCTCTCATTGGGTTGGCTTAGCGCGCGCCCTCTCAGGGTGTTGTTTCAGCTGCAGTGTGCCACGGCCATTTCCATGCCTTGCTGTCTCAACTTTCCCAACCTTCCATGCTGAAACGGTTCCGAAGGGTCTGGGACGGAGTCACCAAAGTTTTTTTGTTTCTTCTTCTTCATGGATGAGACGTCAAGAGCAAATCTTCAGATTATGCAAAGCCAAAAAAAAAACCAAAAAAAAAGAAGAGTGTGCTCTGTCTTAGCGACGGCAAAGTGCCCGTTCCTGACTCCCCTGACTCGGGCAAGTTATTCCTGGCCCACTGCCTGGACCAGACGGCCCACCGTTTCCAGGGGAAACTTGCTTGGGAGTTGGGATGGGACCTGAAATGGAGGGTGGAATCATGCTCCAGTGGAGACTGGAGAGGGGGAAGAGACGGACGGCCAGAAACTAGCAGAATTGGCACTAGCCCCAGTCCGTCAGCCTCTGCGTTTCACCTCTGCTACGGGCCCAGAGAGCCGCTGCCAATTTTCCAAGCCTCGGCGCCAGAGAGAGGTCCCTGCTGAATCGCCCTCCGCATCTACGTAGTAGTGAAAAAGCGATTCATGCCTCCCCTCCCGACCGGCTCTACTCTAATTCTCTTTGCTTGTCTTTGTCGCTCTGGTTGTGTCTCTTGGTTTGGTTGAAGGAGGGGATCATTCGTGTGCTTACCCGGTGACAGTTAGGTTACTCGACAAAATTTGACTAACCTGGGTTTCTTCTCAAGCCGGCTTGATCAGAAAGAAACCGACCCTTCTTCATTCCAACTAGCAAACTCATCAATCAGACAGAACTTTTTTTGTCATCTTCATTTTTACTTTCTTGCAAGAACCGTGCACGCCTATTGAAGCGGGTCAATCTCTCCCCAATACGGAATTGATCTTGTGCAACCGGTGCTGGGATACCGTCTCCTTGGATTTGGCGCACTTATTATTCTTATTATTATTATCAACCTCCTCGTGGGTTGAGCAGACAGACCTATCTCTGTGCGACTTCTGGAAGTCTTCTTCAATCTTCTTTTTCTTCCTCAACTTGACTCAACTCGACTTCTCTTCTTTTCCTGTCTGCGATCTCAGCGTCATTACATTTGCCTGGCTTGTTTGCGTTCGACTTCTTCAAGCGACAGCTGCTGTGCAACAAACCTCGCAGCTCAGACCCAGTATTGCCCTGAGGTGGTATAGATCCGGACCTGACCACCACCAGCCTGGTCTGGCACCTGTCAAAAATCCAAGAGGTGCTTTTCTAGGTATTACTTTTCAGGAGAAGGAAGCAGCTTGATAGGTATGTTCATGTTCTGTCTTGTGTGTGGTTTATCTGGATCTAGTGTTCTGGTTTATCGTTTCATGCTTTTTCTTTGCCTGATGTCTCTCCTGTGGAGTGTGGACTACTAGCTCCATCCATTCTATGCCTTGCCCAAACCCCCCCCTCTCTCCCTTTGCTTTCTCTTTGATGCTCTGCTCTGCCCACCAATCATTCTATATCCGCCTCGCCCACGGTACCCTTTTGTGGGGAATACGATTTGACCTTTCTCTTGTTCGCCTTTTTTGTTATTGTTATTTTTTCTTCATCTCATTTCCCATTTCTCTTATTGGATTTGACACTTGCACCACCACTACCTACTAGGTATGGGTGGTGATGGTAGACCCGAAAGGGAATGAGAGGGGAAGACAGACCTAAGGGGAAAAGGCCAGACCGACCAGTTGGAGCTCCAACCTAAAAAGGGTTGGTTGGTTGTGCCCGGCAAAGTGAGATGCCAGTGTCACTATTGCAACGGACTATGGGATTGAGGCATTCCACAATCTGTCTGTTCCCTTTGGGATTCTTCTTACTCACTCACTCTCTCTTCTCTCTCTCTTTTCCCCTCAACCCCTGTTCAATACTTGAGAGATGGGTCTCTGAGTTTATTTGCATTTGCATTTTCTTTTTCTTTCTCCCTCTATCTCTCCTTCACATCCAATCCCAACATTTGGGGCCAAGATATGCCACCTTCGGGGGTGGAAAGAGGCAGAAGTTGGCGCCCATGAAATGCACATTCCATCGCGAGGGAACCAACCCGGGCGGCTAAAATTAGAGCTGCAGCCCATGGGAAGCTCAGGAAGAACGCAGAACATCTTCTCCACTCCCTCGTCATTACCACTGATTGGCGTGCTGTCAGCAACACACGGCCGGTTGGATCTCCACTCGCCCATTCACTCACTTTGCTTGCTCACTCACTTCTTGCACTCACTTTCACTTTACTCGCCCCTCTCTCTCTCTTATTCGCTCATTGCCCTTTCCCAAATGAATCGCTATTCTTAGTCCTTCATTTTTATTATGTTTATCATTTTTTCTTTTGGATTTTTTAATTTGCTCTGTGCCAGCGAGTCTTGCTGAGACAGACGGTCGGAGTACATCGAGCCCAGAGGCTTGTTTCTCACTCTGTCACTCTCCGATTACTCTCGCGCTCTCACTCATTTTTTCCCTTCTTCCTTCCTTCTCCCTCCGAATCTCCTCTTCCTACTTACTTACTTCCTCTTCCTCCCTTCTATTCTTTCTTCTTCTTTTCCCCCTCTTGTTGAACAACCCCCCC